TGTTTCGAATTATCGAGACTCAACTGTACGTCTGTACCTGATTATACGAGTATATAATAACCGCTCTGCCAGCTTCTATAGGGTACACCGTATACACACACATTTAAGCCCACTACCGAATTGTTATTATAATATCTGCACGATGGTGCCCATGCTGTAATACTTGTGTACCGTGGTGTTGGTATACCTATAGAATGTATTTGCTGAAACCTTTCAAACCGCGTCAGCGAATCATATCGTGGTAACCGCGGTATTCCCGCGGTCGAGTAACGGTGCTCGGCGCGAGAAAAAACGCCTCCTCGAGACGACAACAATAACAACAACGCATATTGTAATATTCGGTACCGACAACAACGTATAGTAGGACGTATATTACAATAACAATAGCAATGGGCATGTATATGTGTATATAACCTCCGAGCGCTGCTTTGTACCTCTATATTATTATATATAGGTAGATAGTAGGTACATCGACGCGGAACACCTGTGCCGATTTCGCGGCGGAGTGAACCACTTTTTGGCAAAAAAATCTCATCCCGCCGCCGCGACCTGCAGAAAAACGGTACATCGAAATCGGCGGAAAACAAAAACGATCCGATCCGACGGAATGTACACAGAGATGCAGTGCACGCCACGCGATACCGTACGTGTTATATATATATATGTACACACATAATATATATACCGAAAGTGGTTAGTGGACAGCAAAACGTCTGCGATGGCGTCGCGGGTCGCGGTGCACCGGTGCACCGCGCGCGCGCACTCCGTCGCTCTAATACAAATGTGTTTTTATTTTTGTTTTCGGGAGAAGGCGAGCGCGTCGTCGTGGGAGAGTGAACGCGGCCGCCGCCGAGTGAGAGGCGTACCACACGGCGGCGGTAGATATGGCTATAGGCACTGCGCATTTCGGGGGACAAGGCGCGCGCGCACAAAACTTATACTAATAATAAAAATAGTAATAGTAATAGTAATGAAGATAATAATATTATACATTTAGCGGGTCAAGTGCAACCGGTGACGGCGGCGGGAAGGAGTGAGCGTGGCGGCGGCGGCGGCGGTTCCAGATTTACCGTACGCCGCGGGCCGCCGAGAAGCCCCGTTATGAGAGTGGGTCGGACCGGATTACCGTTATTATGTGGCAGCGGTGGCTGCGTCGGTGGGTGGCGGGTGGCGGGCGGTTCCCGTTAGATTCTAGCCCGCGGCCCGTTAGTGAAGAGGAGAGTACATATTATAGCATAATATACAGTTGTAGGTATATTATTCCGCGGCGGTGGACGAGAACGGTACAGCTGCGCTGCTGAGATATGGCCATGCCGCCTACGAGTCTATAACATAATAATGAATAATAATAATAAATTATTATATGGTGTTGTCGTTTGCGACGAAAAAGACTTTCGGACGATTACTGTTGTTGTGTTTCGTTCGAGTTGTTGGTAAACCACAACGCCGGTCCCCGGTAATCTGTTTAAATAAGAGGCGACGTTTGCTGCAGTGTGTGTAAGTGATCCGTGTGGGCCATAGCCAAGTCTATCGCACTCGTGGTTCTGAAATTTGGTACCCGGGTAATCCTATACCCGATGAAGACGAGCATCTCGAAACAAATGTTTAAAATGTTGTATTTTGAAGAGTGGCTCGCGCAGGCGGATTTGTTGGCTTACGGAAAACGGATATTTTTTATAGTCTGTGTATATATGAGGTCGATAAAAGTTATTATTTGATTGGATGTATTATACAATTATAATGGTTAATTTTAGACCTGTATTTTATATTAATTGGTAAAACTCACCCTAATAAATGTGTGGTTAAATCATGAAGTGTAGATTATACATTTAACGGAGTCTAAAACAGAATAAATCCACGGGCATTTAATTTGTCACGGGCAACCCCGTGCAGGATCATCCCGTATTATAGTATTTGTTTGCGGGAAGCACAAACCATCGCAGTGGATCACTTATAGACTTGGGTGGGCGGGGATGGTATTCACGTCATGTCCAAACACGATTGAAATACATACCCTTATGGATGATTACTCTCTGCGGGTGATATGCGCTGCAGGAGCTACAAGAAGAATACGTAGAGAAAACGTCTACATTTTGCGTGGGATAATATTTGGGATTACGGAATTCGACAACAGCGGCGGCGAAAAAACAAACCGTAAAATCGAAATTTTATTTTAGATCAATATTGTACATTTCATATTATAGGTAGGTACCTACCTAATATTAGTGCGGTCATCAAAAAAATTATTATAAATGTTTGACTCTGACTCGCCAGCCACACTATTTGTGTAATAATAATTATTATTGCGTATGTCACGGTTAGTTTGGACTGTTTGGAGTACAATACTACACCCTCGTCGATTGTATTCATAATACCATACTATTATTACCTATATTATTATTTATTATACCCGGCGTATGGCTGCCGAGGTAACCAGCTATCTGTTTCGCACCCCTGAGACGTATACCGTATACCTGTGTATAATATTTAGGAAGTGCGGGTATCTATAATGTGAAAATTAATATAAGATTCGATTTCACCCGAGGGTATAAGACTTAAAAATTATTACACGACACACAGGCATATTTAGGCATTGGTAAGTAGTAAGGGTACAGTAGAAGTTAAGTGGGTGCCAATATAATTCAAACCTTATCCAGTAATCCATCAATTATTGGTATTCACTGCAATCTCCTTAAGAATATCAAAAATATTGATATGGTACCTATATTTTCAAATACTTATAGGTAGGTACTCGGCTAAAACAAGAATAATATTATAATAATATTTGAATGCATATTTCGTACTATATATTTAAAATGTCTCTTCGAAAATCAAGGATAAAGAATCTAAGTGATGTAACGATACCAACTGCATGTGCAGTATGCACATACACATAATGCGGTACTTACTTGCATTATTATTACGTTTACGCGATGACGATAAAGAAAACTGTTCGAGATCCGTGCAGAAACCTCGTTCGTTTTCACAGATGTAATAGTGGCGTCGATTGAGAACAATATTAAAAGTATGGATTTATCTTATATATGGACTTAACCCCGTTTAAAATTCATCTCGTATGGGGAATTACGAGACGAGTTCGGACAGTTTTGCTATTTTATCGGTGTCACCATTTTATGTGACTATATATACGAATTATGAGATAATATAAACACGTAACAATGTATATCCGACTACAGCATGTACCATAATAATGTAGGTGTATCCTGTTTATAATATTATCGGAAGTTATTTATTTTTTTATGCCTGAAAAGTACCACTCTTTTATGTATAGATATTATAATGAATAATCATCAATACTTTGTTTATACATGTAAAGTAAAATACTTATAAAGTTTACTTAGTATATCGTATTTGCATATTACATATTAAAATAATGTACCTATTATATTATTATAATCCAAATGCTATCTAATTGCTCAATGTGAACATATTATTTTTATAAATTTGACTTATTATTATTAAAAAAAAAAAAAACAGAATGTGCTTCATTTTAATATTGAAGTCAGTTCAAAAGTTTTGTTTTCAAAAAATATTTATTATATTCCAAAAATAAGGTTGAAACTTTAATGTGAGTGGGTAAAAAAATTCAAATTTATTACTTAGTCTAATTTATTATTGTATAAGAAGTAATAACGAGGTAAACCTATATATTATAGTATATATAACTATATAAGTAACTCTTAAATAATTTAAAAAATGACTTAAGAATTAACTTATTAAATTTACGTCTTATACGTCATTGTAGAACAATACAATTGATTAAACCTGAAGAAAATAATACTTCAATACATTATACGTACAAATTACACTCGTGTAATGGTATTAAAAATTTAAAAGAATATCTGTAAAAGAAATAGTGCGTAATATGTGTTTACAACCGGCATGTACAGTTTCTTTTTCTCACGAGTAAATCTTCTGAAATGTGAAAGCATTATGTACCGAAGAGTGAAGGATACCCGAAAACAGTTATTCGATTGTTATGCGAGGTCTTATTATACAAGGACTTCTATGAGGGTCAATCTTGGGCCATAAATTTTCATTATTATCTAACCACTCTAACCTTCTCGGAACACATGATGAATATATAATATAATAGTTTAGCACTCAAAGATGTCAACTCAATCACCATCACAACCTAAACAATATACCTAATGGGCTATGACTAATACAGGCCACAATAACACTAAAATAAAATTATAAAGTGAATGCATATTCAAATTAGGTACAAAAAAATAAATAAATGATTATGTCGTGTCAAATAAAACAGAATTTTTTATCCAAAATCAAGAAATTACATGACGCTCATTTTATTAACGGGTTGTATATTTTCTGTTGGTTGTACGTTTGGTTTACACTTGTACCTATGTAAGTATAATTAACTAATATTGTTGTATAATAATTCCATTAAAATTAAATAACATTTATTTGAAAGTAGCCCTGCTTTATACTTCATATAGTTTGCTTATTCGATTGTTTATTTAAAGATGTAATATAATATGATTATATGCATTATGCAAAATTACTAACTACTAATTAGTAGCAAATGAAGTCTCAGCATAATATAAAATATGTTAATTTGTAAGTGTTGTATGTACATTTACCTATTTGTTGAACTTCAAACAAATTCCAACCTTAATTGTTTCATATTATGCACATTGCTAATCCATCAATGTCAGTATTAAAACAATAAAAATTGTATACAATTTCAGACCTATTAAGAATTAATTTTAATAGTATACCGTCACATTATGGATGAATAAATTGCTGACGTTAAAATAATAATTTTAATGTTTTATTTTTTGAACTTCTACAAATAATGTCTCATATGCTGGATACATAGCTATAACAAAAATTGTTAACTGCAAAATTATATTACATAGGCACCCATTACAAGAACATAAAAAACGAATCCTGGATAGAAACGTATGTAACAAACCGACTACGTCCGTTTGATGGTGTTAAGAATAAATGAACAAGAGTTTATTTTTCTTTTATAAATTGAATACTTTTTATTTAATTAATACAAAAACACAATAAATTTACTAAGTCCAAATTGACTATTTTAAATAATGAAGACTAACGAGATGTGACTGTCATATCCTAGCTCCTAGCTTGTCGTTGGTGTTGGTCCGTTTGCCGAAGCCCATTCGAGCGACGTATTATGATGGCTATACTTGGATCGTATCCCTGCTTAGTACCCTACTACTTTTACCATATAAGGTCATATCGCCGGATGTCCCTTGCCTATCTGGTCGTTGTCATTTCTGTGTCTACACAACGCTGTTAATTCTTTTAATGTGAACTATAATATATACTACATAATATTCATATGAGAAGTGATATATCTATGAACACATACGTTTGGAGGTCACGCGCAAATATTGATGATACTTCGTAGGCCTCCTGCAACTAATATATATACATATGTATATTTATTTAAAACTACCCGAGGGACTCACTGGAGTGATTATTCATAATATTTAAACATAGTCACAGCTCGCTACACCTCCCCACTAAAAAAAAGGTTTTGTAGGGCTACTTTTTGTAGAACTACAAAATCTTAAAAACTTTTTGTATACATAAAGGTTAATAATTTGTCTTACAGTGACAATTACATAATTGAATAAATATATATAAATTTGACTAACTTAGTTGACTAGAACATTCATATTTAGTTGACTAGATCAGTTAAGTCAAAGGGTTAATGATTACAATATTATTTATTTAGATACATTTAAAATATTTGATTAGTAATTATAAAATTTGTGTTAGTTTACAACAAATTGTTTTCATTAAATACAATAAAAATAATCTTATTCTTAATTGGTTAGTTAGCATAATAGTTTATAAGTATTCATACATTTTTTTTTTTTTTAATAATTTTTATTATAATAATAATTATAAACAATCCAATAATACATTTTAAACTTAAACTAAAAATTTCTAAACTTTAAACTTTACAATAAGTTATGTCTCAGTTATGTCCAGTATATTGTAATAGCACATGGTATTTATAATTTATTATTTTTTTAATCGTTTGCATATCCACACCACTCGACAACTTACAGTGTATGTACATAAGCAAAACGAAGTCAAACAATTTATCGATAATAATATAATAAATCTAAAGCATTGGGTATTTTATTTATATACCTAGCTAAATCCATACAAATTGGGTTTGTTAAATCTCGATCAATTACCATGTCAATTAAAAATCTTTTTATATTTGTCATTATTTCTCGAATCTCTGTATTCTCATATGGCATTAAGATAGAATTATTTGCAGTTATTATGTGTATATCGAAACACTCCGTAAAATTAAACCATTCCCCTTGTTCTAGATTGATATGTATTTGTGTTGCTAAGTTTATATTAATTTCTTGTAACAATTGATTGCTCTTTCCATGTTTATTGTATCCTATAAGATAAATGTTATTATACTGATTATTTATTTTTATTTATTTATTTGTTTATTAATTTTTTTTTTTATTATTATTAGGTATATTTTTTAAAATGTTGAGCCAAATTCTCGTACTTATATTTCCTGATCACATAGTCAAATATACACTTCATATAAATAACGTGTGTGCGAGGATCATGAGCATGTGTTAATTTATGTTTTTTATGACATATTTTATTGTGTGTTTCCTCCAGGTTCATTAATCTTCCCCTTTTGTCAAAATATCCTATCTCTAATTCAAATAGTACCTGTTTGTTCTCTAATTTTTCTAATATTATTGTAAAATTTTTATTAAAATATTTATCATAGCAAGTGATATTTAATATCGGAAATTGAACTATACCTAACCTTTTTAGAATATTTTTATCTGAACTGCAATTCCATACTACTATCACATTAATTTTATTGTCCCTTAATATATAATTTGTTATATAGTTTACATTTAAGCTATTAACTTCTGCTTTTAGACTTTTTTCTAATTGGTCTAGGCAAGCGTCTCTCAGTTCCGTTTTACAACTGAAAATGCGTTTAATCTCCCTTTGTGCTACCAGAAGTTCTTGGTCTCTCATAGGTCTGACCTCTTCATTCACTGGTAGATACAATGGTCGACCCTCTAATTTTCTGATTTTAAAACGGTCCAGACTGTTTGATATAGCTCCCGATATTAGCACCATACTAGTTTTATGAATCATGGAAAATTCCAAATCCATTATAATGAACTTATGCGCGTCCTTTCTATAACATAATATATAATAGTTTACTAAATATTTTTAATTAATTACACTTATAATAACATCTTTTTACATGGTTATAATTTTTTTTTTTATATATATATATATATCCGCTTAAATTTGCCTTTCAAATATTACAGATGGTAGATTAGTATTTATTGATAACCTATCTGGAGTATCTGTTATTATTTCCTCACGAATAACACTTTTGCTAGCACTTTCATAGGGCACAGGTTTTACTATAGGTCTCTGTGCCTCATATGATTGATCTGGCCTTAATTCTATGTTTTCGCTTCTATAAAAAGTACTCATACTTTTAGGTTCACTCGTACCTTTAGGCTCACTCATATAATATTCTTTATTTTGTACTGGTCGTGATCTATTAGTATATGTTCTTTTTAAATCCATATTACATTTATACATTACATATAAGATTAAAATTAGTATGAAAGAAAATAACAATAGTCCTATTATAGCATATATTAAATAATGATGGTTTGTTGTAACATGTCCATTTTGTCTATCCAACTCATTTTCTACTATTAGTTGTATGTCGTCTAGAGAATGAACTAATTCATGAATATTATCTAATTTTAATAAATCGTTCTTGTGTTTGTATTTAGGTATTTCCAAAGATGGAATGGCTTTAGGAATTTTCATCGTTAAACTACCTTCGCCCAACTTAGGTATGAAATTTACATAGAATTTTGATTTTATTTCCCTAGTTGGATTTAAAACTATATCATTGGCATAAGCTCTGCAATCCTGATTTATATATATTAGTCCCTGATTTTGGATTTTTAGGATATATGGTTCTGTTTCCCGTTGACATGATATCATTAATGTGTCATTAATAGTTGTGTATAACCAAGTGTTTGAATATTTTAATTTATGATATATATTTTTAGTGATTATTATTACCCCTGCTTCACAATTGTTTGGTTAAACTTCTGGATTTTTAAATAATGATACTTCACATGGTTGCCTAACCGATTCATATTGTATTGGTTGAAATTCTGGGCATATATTAAATAATTCTGTTTCAGTACAACTCAACAATTGTGTTTCTGTAAAAGTAGTAAATTGTCGTCTATTTTTTGTTATTCCTACATATTGAAATTCAGGTTTTAAAACTATACTGTGATTTTTATTAAATCGATGTGGTATTGGTAAGATTTTATACAAGGTGAGTTCAAGTTCTGTTACTAATGGAATTTTTATTAAAAATACTATTTGATTTCCACTATAATACACTGCCATCTTAGTTATCTTACTTAATTCGTAAATTTCGCTAGGCTGTGTTCCCATGGGTAAATTTAAATTGATGGGTAAATTAAATTTAATTTGTGTTAATTGTTTTGCTAACTCCCTAGGAGTTACTAAACTTGGATGTAGAATTCCTGTTCTTGCCGAAGTTTTTATAGCACTTATAGTTGTTGTCTCATAAGAAAATTGTGTTAGTAAAGCAGTAAAAATACTATGTATTCAATTACTCAAAACTAAAGTTTCTACAGTATGTGTATGGTTAGCTGCTTCATTTAATTTTTTATACAGCATACCTTGCTTTTCACCTAATTCAATATATAATTTATTCATTTCTATAGAGGCACTACCTATTCCTTGTACTGCTGATTTTACTACAGTGGTTTGATTCTTTAATATATGTAACATATTAACATTACTATTTTCGATTTTCTGAATATTCTCATTATTTTCTCTTGTACAGTCATCATCACATACACCAAATAAAGTTTTCATAGCTGTTCCTATTATATTTACTAGACCTCTTTTATTCCTAATGACTACAGTGTTTCCTTCCTTCATACTCTCATTTGTACTATTATACCTGCCAATGGACCCATACATATTTTGCTCCCTTTGTGAAGCTATTTCTACAAACGTTGATTTTAATATATTTGAAAACCTTGAACATATCTCATATCCCGATAACAAATCCTTACAATGACTTGTCATACTTAAAACAACAATAAATTCAATATTCTCAACAATGAAGGACTTACTTGTCGGCCTTTAAATAAAACTCACAAATATAAACTCAATAAAAATTTCTCAAATTAGGACTTACCACTCGGCCTATAAAATTCAACAAAAATTAGACTTCAACATGTCTAATAAAATTCAAAACAGAAGGACTTACTACACGGCCTTTAAAATTCCCCAATAAAATAGACTTCAACTTGTCTAATAAATTCAATACACAAGGACTTACCACACGGCGTTTAAATAAAATACTCCATTACTTCTCAATAATTCACAATAAAAATTCTTTTTAACTCTCAAATATATTCACTAATTTTTTTTTTTTAAACAATTCTCAATTTAATATCTCTTGTTCTCTTTTTAATATAACTCTTATTAAATTCCCAATAATTCTCAATAATATTAACTTTATTCACTAATAACTAATTACTACTTACACCAATGCAGCTGATACTTGATTCATGGTATAGTAACAATCTGACTACGTTCGTTTGATGGTGTTGAGAATAAATGAACAAGAGTTTGTTTTTTCTTTATAATTTGAATAATTTTTATTTAATTAATACAAAAACACAATAAATTTACCAAGTCCAAATTGACTATTTTAAATAATGAAGACTAGCGAGATGTGACTGTCATATCCTAGCTCCTAGCTTGTTGTTGGTGTTGGTCCGTCTGCCGAAGCCTATTCGAGCGACGTATTATGATGGCTATACTTGGATCGTATCCCTGCTTAGTACCCTACTACTTTACCATATAAGGTCATACCGTGGGCGGCCACGCGCTGCACACGCCGGATGTCCCTTGCTTATCTGGTCGTTGTCATCTCTATTGAGGCAACACAACACTTTTAATGTGAACTATTTTAATAATATTCATATAAGTAGTAATAAATCTATAAACATATACGTTTCGAGGTCACGCGCAATAGATGCGTCGTAGGCCTCCTTCAGCATATCGTGTTTCTTCTGTATATTTAGAACTACTGGAGTGCTTTACTGGAATGAGTATTTATAATATTTAAAACATAGTCACAGCTCGCTACAGTATGTGTAGTTGGTACCTCCATGTAATTTTGACTTGGAACGTAATCGATGTTGCTGACAGGATTCTCTTGCGGAGTTGTTGATAGTTGATCAGACTTCCAACGATGATTCAATTTGATTGAATTGCCTCCTTGAATTAATTTGGTTGGAATATTTTGAAATAATTCAAAAATATTCGTTTCCAAAATTTTTTTTCTTTTTGCAAACCCTGTCTACAGCGCCAATTGTAACAAACCGACTACGTCCGTTTGATGGTGTTGAGAATAAATGAACAAGAGTTTATTTTTCCTTTATAAATTGAATACTTTTTATTTAATTAATACAAAACACAATAAATTTACTAAGTCCAAATTGACTATTTTAAATAATGAAGACTAGCGAGATGTGACTGTCATATCCTAGCTCCTAGCTTGTCGTTGGTGTTGGTCCGTTTGCCGAAGCCCATTCGAGCGACGTATTATGATGGCTATACTTAGATCGTATCCCTGCTTAGTACCCTACTACTTTTACCATATAAGGTAATATCGTGGGCGGCCACGCGCGGCATTCACCGGATGTCCCTTGCCTATCTGGTCGTTGTCATTTCTGTGTCTACACAACGCTGTTAATTCTTTTAATGTGAACTATAATATATACTACATAATATTCATATGAGAAGTGATATATCTATGAACACATACGTTTGGAGGTCACGCGCAAATATTGATGATACTTCGTAGGCCTCCTGCAACTAATATATATACATATGTATATTTATTTAAAACTACCCGAGGGACTCACTGGAGTGATTATTCATAATATTTAAACATAGTCACAGCTCGCTACACGTAATACTTAGGTAATCATATATTCAATATTGATAGATGATGATTATCAGTAAAATTATTATTCATTAGAATGAAAACAAAATTAGGAAAATTGTACAAAAATATATTAATTTGAATATTGTTGGAAGCGGGAAATTAATATTTAAGGTAGACCATCATACACATTATAGCATTAAACGATATTAAATTGTACAACTGTTGTAGATAGTCTGTGCAGTATATAATATTATTATTAATATAAAGGTATACTACACAATATGACATCATAAGATCAACACAGGTTTACTTATAATATAAACTAAATTGAAACTAAATATTATTTGATCCTCTACGTGCAAAGCACAACAAAAAACTAAATTCATTAATCAGGTTGTCTAATGATGAACGCTTGTGTAGTTTTATATTTATTGTGAGTAAAAATGTATATTTTTTTATCTTTAATATTTATACAGTACTATTTAAATACAGCATTGTGCATTTTATGTTGATATAATATAAATAATACTAGATACTTATTAAATAGGAATTTAAATAACTGTTATTATATGAAACATTATGGAGTACCTACCTAATTTTTACCCATCTGGTACTAAATCAACTGTTTTACTATTATGAGTAGACAGAAACGAATTAGAAACTTTATCAGCCTCATTAAATAATCCAAAATATTTCTGGAGATTTGTAGACGATCTCGAAATAATTATAATTAAGTATCCACTCCCCGAATATTAGTCATCCAAGTACATTATATCCGAATACAGTGTTAAAAAGTAAATATGTTTATGAATTACCTACTATTAGTGGAACATGAAATTCTAATTTATTAATTATATGTATTCGGATTCGGTAGTCTTTTCGGGGCCAGATTTTGAAACTATGCGCACCGGAGCACTCATAAACAGTATCCCCTCTTATTGTGGCAGGGGTGGATGCCCAGTGTTATAAATAAAAAGTATAAATACCTATATAAGATTATAAAACTGTACTTGTATCTTAAATGAATCAACAAAATGACTTTAGTTACCTACCACGTGGTTTTCTGATTTTTATTTTTGATACATATATTTTGACGAGTTAAAAACAGCACATAATAGTATAATTTGTACTAATTAAGTATGACAAGTAGACAGTAGTCGCCCGCTACTCCTACCAGCTTCGATCGCCAAACTTTAAGTCCTAAACACCAATCGTAAATTTATCGTAATTATGTAGGTATAATTAGGTTTCATGCGATAAAATTGTTTGAATTCCACTATAATAATATACAATGCTTAAAAACTATTTATTGGTCATTGATTAGGTTATTTCTAGAGTTTGGCTTTGCTCAAACATAAAACAGAACGCAAGTTCGCATCTATACATAGCTCGGGTGCACCCTCAAAATATCCCGTGCATCAAAATGTCCCTCGTTCAAAATATCTCGCGTTAAAAATATCCCCATTACAAATATCTCAACTAAAAATATCCAATACACAAAATATCCCCAGTTATATTATCCCTTAATTCATAACAATATACATAAAAAAATATTTTTTTTAAATGTCAAATTAGAACCACTGTTTAACTTCTCTTAAACATTACTATGTTAGTCATACTAACATACACACATTAAATATATCATAGTTGAAATGTATATCAGTAGAATTCAATATAATAGTCATGTATGGTTATCTCATTTTGTATATTTTTATATTAAGGTGCGTAATCAGGTACTATTAGAACTTGTAATAGGAATTAGGAGTACCTGTTTTTTGTTGAAATAATAAAAATGATAAAATAAGCCTCGTACAAACAATGCCCTTGAAGGGTGGCACCACGACTTTAATGAATCTTTAGGAGCCAATCATGTATCAATAGTGTATCAAATTAGAGCAATGTAAATAAAATATACAATTATGATTTGTTTTATTTTTATTTAAGTCATATTATTGCAATTATGTAGGCCTTCAAAAAGCAAAAATTGAAAAATACATGTCTGATGAACTACCCGTTAAAAAAAAAAGTTTACGAGAAATTGGACAGACAATTAAAATAAGTGGTTCTTAACTATGAACATATTACTGTACTGAACTATTTAAAAGGCATTGAGTGTAATTTTTCATTTTGAAAAAATCTTTTATATGTTTATTTCATTTAAAAATTAATGTTAATTTTAAGATCATACAAATTTATTTATTTATTGTACAAATACAGTAAGAAATTTAACTAAAATTTATAAAATTATTTTTTAAAAATAAAAATATATAAATATGAATTAAGGGATAATATTACTGGAGATATTTTGAATATAGGATATTTTTAGTTGGGATATCTGTAATGGGGATATTTTTAACGGGGGATATTTTGAACGAGGGATATTTTGATGCACGGGATATTTTGAGGGAAACCCATAGTTTGGACCAGTTAATCAATTGGAATGAGTTCAAAGTTGCTTTTCGAGTAGTTTTTAGAAGCTTACATTTTTAAAATATTAAATAATATTATCCAGAGTTATACCTGCTTAATATTTTATCAAATTTAGTATTCCGTACCTCAATACAAAAAACTGTAAAACATTTTTACATCAAAAACTATAGTTATTTTCATCCTACAAACCGTATATGCTCGTATTCCCCAATAGTAAATTAACTAAATAATTTTTCTTTTTTTAAACTTAATTTATTGTGTACTATACTAGGTATGATATGAATAATTGTATCAACTATATAGTATATAATACGTATTTACTTTTACGACTATATACTTAAATAATCAAAAAACTTTGAAATATTTAAATTAACTTTTGGTTAATCAAATTATATGCTGTTTTGTGTTTAGCTGTTTAGCATAATAAAAGTTGTGAAAAATATAGGAATTCAATATAAAATATTATATTAATACAAATAAGTATAACAATAATCTATTATAATAAATAAATGGCACGGGCCAACGAAACGAAAAAATAGGAATTTAAATTATGTATATAATAAAATATTTAATAAATAATGATTAGCCAACTATATGAACTCAAATAACCTTAATAACCTAATATATAATGTGTCTGTAATACCATGTACATATTGCATTGTAATACTGAACAACAATTATTGTCTAATTAAATATAGGTATGTAAATATGCATATACACAATAATTATAATATACTATATAGAAACATGTTGCATTATTGTACGATAATTTATTGTAAAATAGGTACTATACTATAAGGTATTCGTGTAAAATGTATACCTACGTACTGTTTGTATTACGCTATTTTAGCAGAATTTACACATCTATAAACGATGGCTGCAGATGAGTAGTATTGTTCACACAGAGCCTTCTCTGCGGTCGGCTATACAGTAAAAAAAAGGTGCTATATTATGTATACCTATTATACTTTAATCACATATTAATATCAAACACACATGCCTATAATATCTCTCTCATTACGCTGGTGTTCATATATTCGAATTTTAAATGTATATAAAATATTATATTATACTCGAGGTATATACCTATAATATTATTATAGTATGGTAACTCGGGTCTCTAAACCTACCATCTACGTACTACGCCTTTCCATAAAATATATTTTTAAAAATCGTTACGAAATCAATAAGCAAACAAAATAAACATCGATGACGGAATTTCGTGTTTAATTTATGCGATGTGCCGTGTGCTCGTGTGCACAATGATCGTATACCTATAATGATGTGTATATGCGAGCATACAAACGAAAATATTTTCATTTTTTTCCTGCGCGAGTTCCCTTTTTACCGAACGCCTCGTCGTATAATTACCATAACGGTATTTCGTTTTGGTTTCATAGCAATACGCATTTTATTCTTAGAGTGGTTTCACTGCCGTGTACAATGTAGCTAGGTGGGTATACACTAATACACTATAGACGTTTAGAAAAATATATTTTGGAGCACACGTCTTTATATTTAGTGCGCAATATATAATAATATATAATAATATATAATTAAAATCCATACTTAAAAAAAAAGTCTGCGGGCACAATATATAATGTACTTAATACTCGTATTAATAAATGTTAATAAAATATGTTTGGTATATATGGTTTTCAACTGATCGATTTTCTGCTATATACACAATTAAAATTCATCAGTAGTTTTACAATATATATAAAAGTGCGCTACGAATTCAAATTTGTTTGAAAAACAATTTAAAAAAATTGACTATTTTACAAAAGTGACCTTGACCATATTTATACCTCATTTATTATAAGAAGCTTTTGCCCATAGGTAAATATTTCGGCTACAATATTACATTTAGTGTTCGTGATCAATATATTTTAAATAGCGTTTAAAAGTAGGATTATTAAAATAATAAATTATCATGAAATAATATTAGAAAAAAGTGTAGTTATAACACGACCA